ATCCGGCCCGGGCGAGCCTGCTGGCGCCGTTGCAGCGCTCGGGCGTCCGGTCGCGCGGCGAGCGGGGGGCGGGGAGGGGGGCGTCGGGGGCGGCCTCCCCCCTTCCGGCTTCGGCGCCGCTCGCGAGCATTCCTCCTTCCGGCGGCGCCTCGCCCTACGGAGCCATCGCGGGCGTGCCGCGCCCCTCGCGTATCCGGATGCTGGGCGCGGGCGAGAGGGAAGCGAGACGGAGTGCGAAGCGGGAAGGTCTCCCTCTCCAGCGACCGGCGGCCCTAAAAAGCGGTGTTCTCCCTCCACGTCGCTACAACGGACTGTTCACTCTAGCGAGAAAGGAGGACCGGGACCCTACCGGACGCCGCCAACGTTTAATCCGATTATCGCCTCTTCTCTTATCCGGATTGGGGATTCGCCCCTTGGCCTCCCCAATCCTTCTTTTTCCCCCTCCCTGTCTCCTTGTCGAATCCCTCGAGTTTCCTTATCCGAATCCCACGGCGCGGTTATCGGAATTGGGGATTTTTTAAAGTCCGAAAATGAGGGAAAAATAAGGCGGGAGAAGGAACATTAGATTGATAAGATGAGATAGCTGGGTATGCTTTGGGCCATGTTCCTTGTTTATTTATTTATGGGGTTTCTCTGCATTTTCTTATGTAATGGAAATGATGGTTAAAAATGATAATGGTGATGAGGGAGATTATTAATCATGATAATAAATGGCTGGATGACGTTAATATTGATTATGATTATGATGCCTACCACATGATAAATCCTTGATCGTCTAACAATTTCTGGATATTCCTTATTACTTCATATTCTAAGGTCTTTTGGAAAGTAAATTTGATTCTGATATTAACGAAAAATGCTTTATTAGGGCGTTTAATAATTAACATATGGCCTGATTATTGCTTTTACATGATCCGAAAGTATTTGCAATCAGACAACTATTATTCATATTTCTTGTGACTCAGAAAACACTTGGTACATATACACTGTTGAGAAAGTCATTAAATGCGAGGGATATATTGTGAAATAATAATAACTGCGTAATACTAATCTGGTCAAAAAATTCTGCGGAATGGCAATAGGTTCTGTTGAGCCATATATAAAATTAGCTTTCGCTAGGCCAATACTAATAGTTACGGTATTCTAAAGCTAGTAAATGTAAGCAAACGGGTAATATTGAGGATTTTCCTTTGTTCGACAGAAAGCGAACTCAGTACAACCAATATGGCGGCTCAGTGGGTGGGTTGGGAAAGTTCAGTGTACGCAATGGTATTCTATCCCGCCCTGAGTCACATTGTGGAGGTAAAATAATACGAGCGTTGTGATTGGCTGCCGCTGGCGCACAAAAACCAGGCGCCTCTCCTATTGGTTCATGGAGTTCGCGTGGACCAATAGGCGCCCGGCTCTCAAAGCGTCGACCCAAGGGGGCTGAGTAGTACCTGGACCACGACGTGGGCTCGCACCCCGCCCGAATCGCGGCCGCACCGCCGTCCATTTCGAAGAGGAATCTGCCGTGAAAGCGCCGTATTTCGTGCTCGGGAGTGCGGATTCGGGCGAAATGCTGCGCAGCATCGTGGCAAGGACCGTGTGGAACAGCCGGGCGCCGTGCCTAGGGGCGAGCCGGCGCTGGGGCGAGGGCGGAGGAGGCGCCCAATGGACACGGCGGCGGCACGGGCGGCGGCGGCGGCGGCGACGGCGCGGCCCTTGCACGGGGCGGCGCTGCTTCGGAAGGCCGAGGACCGTAAGGAGATGCTGGCCTCGATGCCCGCCCGCGACGAGGGCACCGAGGGCGAGGCGGCCGTCGACGTGGACGCCAACCTCCGAGGGTGAGTAGAAGGGCGGCGAGAGGCCGAGGGGAGCGGGAGTGAGTCGAGGGCGAGGGCCGCTCGAGCAGGAGGCGCCGACGAGCCCGAGGTCGCTCTCGGCTCAGGGCGGAGGCCGGCGGGGGCGGAGGCCGCGGCCGCCTCCCCCCTGGCCGCCTGGCCTCCTGGGGGCGCCTCCAGGGGGCGGAGGGCGCGAGGAGGACTGGGGCCGGGCTCGAGGACGAGGTCTCGAGGAGGAGCGAGTGCGGGGGAGCATCGGCCGAGGCAGGAGAGGGCTGCTGCGCCGGGGAGGAGAGAGGGCGAGGAGGGCGCGGGCCTCGTCCTCGGCCTCGGCGGGGCGGAGAAGAGGAGGAATCCTCTCGAGGACGAGGTGCGAGGGGAGGGAGTGCCGGGGGAGGGAGCGGGGCGGGAGAGGAGAGACCCTGACCTGGAGGCGAGGTTTTCCTCCTGAGGGCCGAGGGAGGGCGAGGGAGGAGGGACATATGGGCCTCCTAAGGGCTGGTACGCAGATCCCCGCGGTCTGCTCTGGGGTCTGGAGAGAGGAAGTCGAGGGACCGTCTTTCTGGCAGAGTCGAGCTCTTGGTCGGCACGCAGGGTGTTGAAGATTGGTAGTCCTATACGAGTGTAGATTAGGGTTCATCCGACATCTTGGAGTACGAGGAGTTTCTACTCTGGGGGACGGGGGGGGAGTGTAGAGAGAGAGAGAGAATATGTAGGTCACGGCTTGAAGGGTTTGTCGGAGGGCGGTGTTGAATGCCGAGCGTTGGTGGTGGCCGAGTATCCTTCAGTATATTGGTGTTGATTCACATTAGGTTGTGTGGGTTTACTTAACACTGTGCCGAGTTCCACCTCCGAAATTTCTCTTTGTACTTTAAGCTATATCTTTTTCAATTCCATGATTTTGTATTTTTTGCAAACGAGTAAATTCATCTTTTGGAGGGTGGAAGTTTTTGTATTTTGTGTAGATAAGTTACATTAGTTTTCCATTAACTGGTAGGTTTTTTCTGATTAGTCTGATTTAGGACCCAAATTGTTTTTAAAAAATAAGATATAAAGATAGATTTAAAAATCATGGAGATCAAAGCCTTTTTTTTTCTCATGCAATTTGTATTGGACTGTACCCATAGTTAAATATTATTATAAAAGAAAAAAAAAGATTAGTTTTGGCCACACACCAGTGTCCCCCAACACCACATCGCAAAATCAGTTCAACAATACTCGTTGCTGCGACTGGGCGATATGGCATAGTCCAAGTTGGGGGGGTGATCGGGATCACCCCCCCCCCCCCACCCCCCAATTGCTGAGAAAGAATGTCTTGAGTTTAATATGCATGGCATGAGAGTTGAAACTAAAGGAGTCCTGAGTGTACTTAAGCTCCGAGAAGGGTTTTGGGCAATCTTTATTCTTTATTTGTGGAGTTACCATTTGTGTAAGTTATTTCATGTAGTTACTTCAGAAGTTCTTTGGCTTCTACAAGAACATCTTCAATTTAACCCAGCCAATAGCAGCCATACCATAAAGACTATCTGTTTATCTTGGACATAGAATGAGTGCACACAACAGCAAGTACCAAAGACTGACTCGATATTTCTGTGACCTGAAGGCATACTGATTTCCAGCAACTTAGTGTCTGACTGGTAAAGGAAATAGTCTAAACAGGCAAAGGGCATTGGGAAATTAGTCAATAAATTACAACTAATGTCATGATGAGAAGTAAGATATAGCCATTGATTCACCAGGTGTGATTTTCACAAAACCAACCACACAGAAAAGTAGAGGTCCACTCAGTGCTCCAGAGATTCGGCTCTATTTGGTTAACACTCAGATGAAGATTCATCAACTTGACTCACCCTACGGGCTGCCATAGCTAGCATGACAGATTCCAGAACAAACTCTGTCAAAGAATTTGTCATTCTAAGTTGCGGTGCCTAGGTGAGCCTTGTGGGCACTCCCCGAGGAGAGACCTTATCTTCACCTCGGTGTGCATGACGAGGTAGAGTTGACACTCGGGAGCACCAAGTGGACTTGAGCTTGAAGTGGGGTTCTCAGTGATCTTTTTCCTTTATTTGTGGTGTTACCCTTTTTGACTGTACATTAGTTCTTTCACTAACAACTGTAATTTCCCCCCTCTACGAGAATATCATATTCAAATTACCCTAGCTTAGTGTGTTCACACTTTAAATATTTACCATCTCTGAAGATTACAAATTATGTAAAAGTAAAAAGAGTTTTGTAGTGTTGGCTTACTGTACCTTTCCATATTTTTCTTTATATATATTATTTGTGTTCGTATGATCTGTATGTGCTAGTTCTCTGTTTTAGTATATAGGACTTGCGTAGTCCATTTGGAAACGTGTAGATTTTTCAAACCTATAACCACCACACCTTTAGGTACAAAAAGTGATTTTTTAGTTAGAGATGAAGATGTTCTAATGAAGTGAGTAGTATGTATACATTCATATTGGGTTCAGTTATTCATTTATTTATTTTTTGCGCCCGACTCCAGGAGTCGGTCAAGAAGTGGGTTACTGGCTACTGTATACCCTAGTAACTAATTGAATAATTAGTCCAAGCTTTATTTTTTAGACTTTGTTGATAGTATGTTGACTTTTGCTAAACCAAGGCCATGACATTTTGTGTGGTTCAGTTCTGAGTAATTTAAGAAACTTTTATAAGAATGGTAATGTCTTTGGCATAGTCCCCCCCCCCATTATTAGAACATTAAAGCTGTATATGAAGCAGTAAAATTAGGTATTTTATATTATATATATATATATATATATATATATATATATATATATATAATGTTTATACATATGTACTTACATTTGTAATCTCATTCAATAGGTAATGATAAATATTACAATATATATAACTTCTATTATACATGTAATTGTGAAAAGTTGGGAATGAATGGTAGTGCTTGGGTACACGAGTAGGAAATAATTTGTGGCAAAATAGAAATTAACTTTAATAAAAGAAGGAAAAAGTGAACCTTGAAGACCCTATCATATTTGTACTTTTATAGTCAATTTTTGTTTTTGTTTGAATTTGAGGCTTTTCACATTTATCACGGATACAGAATTGCTCCCAGACAAAGATGGTATCAACTGTTCCATCCAACTAATTTCCGTCTCATCTTGTGCTACGGAGGTTCTTTACAATTAGAAAGATTTTTATGGATAAATTGGATTGAATATATGCAATATACAAGCTTAGATTTCTTTAAAATGGGCTCTTGTTTGCTGCCTTGATTGTATGAAAGCTTCAGGCCATTTACATTCGGAAAGTTCATGCAGAAACACAGAATTGACAGCAAGAGTACTTGTGTGATGGGTCCTCCAGAGTAGATCATAGTTGTCTTTTGCGCTTGGCTTGAGGTTCCTGTCTGAGGCACACTCTCTCGCTCTTTGTAGGTTTGGAGGGATGTTTCCGGATGAGAATACCCCAGACCTGTTGATTGATGGTGTGCGCTTTGCTGATCTCCCAATCTTGCATGTCAAGATATCCAAAAATAACACAGTCATGTCCTTAACAAATGCCAAAGGTAGGCAGGAGAAGAGAAGGAAATGGAAAAGGTGGGGTGGGTTATGCGTATTTGGGATAGAGGTCTTTGCTGAACCAGTTGGAGTTGGGTCCTTGTTTGTATTAAATGTTTCTTAAAATGTCAGTATCATATTGTATGTAATAAATGTTACCTATAATACTGTTAAGTACATTAATAAGGTTTGAGTGGCAATTTCTCTAATGTGATTCTTTTCCTTCCTTTGCAGGTGACGTGCAAATGTACAGAACATGTGGTATTGAAGGATTCAAGAACACCCGCAAGGGGACCAACATAGCTGCACAAGCAACAGCTATAAGTTTAGCAACAGTAAGTGTTGTTCTTTTTTTTATAGAAAGCTTTATTAATGTGATAAAAATTTAACATGCAAGAAATGGTAGTTTCTACTATCTTCTTTGAAATTAAAATTTTGCTTTGTCTATTGCAGAGAGCATTGGACCGCGGTGTCAAAAATGTTCGAGTAAAAGTGCGGGGACTGGGACCAGGCAGAATGGTGAGTTTTGACCTTTATTTTCTGATCATTTGCCTATTGCTTGCTTTTGTTTTGTACCTTTGTAAAGAAAATTTTTTGGGAAATGCAAACCAAGACCAGAATAAACTATGTATATCAAACAAAAGGTACTCGGATCCATTGTTAGAAATAGTTGGCAATACTAATAGTGGCTTCCTGCCACCTCTTGTATACAAGTTCCTCATGACTGTTCACCCCTTTCCTCCTGCTCCATCTTATTCCATTTCTGTTACTTCTCCCTCATCCTCTTGTCATCCCTAAAAGCTTCTTCCCCAATTATCTTCCTTCCCTCCTTCCCCAATTATCTTCCTTCCCTCCCTCATCCTTCCCTCCTTCCCCAATTATCTTCCTTCCCTCCTTCCCCAATTATATTCCTTCCCTCCTTCCCCAATTATATTCCTTCCCTCCTTCCCCAATTATATTCCTTCCCTCCTTCCCCAATTATATTCCTTCCCTCCTTCCCCAATTATCTACCTTCCCTCCTTCCCCAATTATCTACCTTCCCTCCTTCCCCAATTATCTACCTTCCCTCCTTCCCCAATTATCTACCTTCCTCCTTCCCAATTATCTATCTTCCCTCCTTCCCAATTATCTTTCCTTCCCTCCTCCCCAATTCTCGTCTTCCCTCCTCCAGTTTCCCTCTTCCCTCCTTTTCCCAGTTTCCCCTCTTCCCTCCTTTCCACCTCCCAGTTTCCCCTCTTCCCACCTTTCCACCTTCCCAATTTCTCCTTCTCCCTTCCATTCCTCCCTCCCAGTTTTTCCTTCTTCCTTCCATTCCTCCCTCCGTGTTTCTCCTCTCCTTTCTCTGTCTGTGTTCCTCATTCTTTCTCCCTTCTCTACTTTTGCTGCTGCAGTGGCTGTTCCCTTCATACCCCCCTTTCTTCTCCACTTACTGCCTTCTCCTTTTATCTGCCTTCTATCTCCTTTCCCCTTCACCCTCCCTACACCATATTTCTATTCCACTTACTCCTCTTCCTTTTCTTATTCCTCTTACTCATATTCCACTTATTCCTCTTCTTATTCCCATTCATATTCTATTCTTACTCTTCTACTTGTTTCCATTCCTTTTCTATTCTTTCTCCTCCCTATTCCTGTTTACCTCGCGCTCTCTCTATTCCTGTTTACCTCGCGCTCTCTCTATTCCTGTTTATCTCGCGCTCTCTCTATTCCTGTTTATCTCGCGCTCTTTCTATTCCTGTTTACTCTCTATTCCTGTTTATCTCGCGCTCTTTCTATTCCTGTTTATCTCGCACTCTTTTCCGTTTCTCACTCTTCCTATTCCGTTCTCTCACTCTTCCTATTGCCGTTCCACTCTTTCTATTCCCGTTCATCTCACTCTTCCTATTCCTGTTTACCTCAATCTTCAGATTCCTGTTTATATAACTTATTCCTATTCTTATTTTTCATACTCTTATTCTTACTCTATTCTTGTTTCTCTTACTCTTCCTATTCTTGTTTCTCTTACTCTTCCTATTCTTGTTTCTCTTGCTCTTCCTATTCTTGTTCCTCTTGCTCTTCCTATTCTTATTCCTATTACTCTTTCTATTCTTGCTCTTCCTATTCTACTTCTATCTGTTTTCTACCTCCTTCTATTCTTTTTCTCTTTAACCCCATTCACCTCCCTGTCCCTCATAATTTTCTTCAACTCCTCACATTCTTTTTTTCATTCTATCATTCTTTGCTCTTCTATTCTCCTTTCCTATCCACCTTCCTACTCCATTTTCTCCTTCCTTCCTACCCCATTGCTTCCTTCTACCATCTCTTCCTTCCTACCCATTTCTCTCCATTCCTTCCTCCTCCTCTCCTTCTTTCCTTCTTACATTCCTCTCTTCCCTTCTTCTTCCTATTTTTCTCCTTCCCTCCTTCTGCCATTTCCTCTCCTTCCTTCTTTCCTTCTACCTCCACTTCCCTCCTCTCCTTCCTTCTTCCCTTCCTACCCATTTCCTCTCCTTTCCTTCTTTCCTTTCTTACCCATTTCCTCCTCCTTCCCTTCTTTCCTTCCTATCTTTCCTCTCCTCCTTCTTTCCTTCCTACCTCCATTTCCCTCTCCTTTCCTTCCCTACCCCATTTCCTCTCCTTCCTTCCTTCCTTCCTTTCCTTCCTTCCTTCCTATCCTTTCTCCTCTCCTCCTTCTTTCCTTTCCTCCCCTCCTTTCCTCTCCTTCCTTCTTTCCTTCCTACCCCATTTCCTCTCCTTCCTTCTTTCCCCTTCCTCTCTTCTTTCCTTCTTTTCCTTCCTACCCCACTTCTCTATTCACCTTCTTCCTTCCTACCCGCCTTCCTTCCTTCCTTCCTTCCTTCTTCCTACGCTCTCCTCTTCCTTCTTCCTTCCTTCCTTCCTACCACCCATTTCCTCTCCTTTCCTTTCCTTCCTACCCCTACTTCCTTCCTTCCCTTTCCTTCCCTACCCCCTTCCTACCATTCCTTCCTTCCTTCCTCCTTCCTCTCCTTCCTTCCTACCCCACTTCCTCTCCTTCCTTCCTTCCTACCCCATTTCATCTCCTTCTTCTTCATTCCTTTCCTACCCATTCCTTCCTTCTCCTTCCTATCCCATCCTTCCTTCATCCTTTACCCCATTCATCTCCTTCTTTCATTCTTCCTACCCCATTTCATCTCCTTCCTTCATTCCTTCTCCCCATTTTTCCCTTCTTCTTCATTCCTTCCTTCCTACCCCATTTCATCTCCTTCCTTCATTCCTTCCTACCCCATTTCTTCACCTTCCTCTTTTTCCTCCTCTCCCTCCCTTTTTTTTCCCTCCTTGCATCCTCCTCCGTCCCCCTCCTCCCTCCTTTCCCTCTCCCTCCCCTCCCTCCCTCCCTTCCCTTTCCTCCTCCTCCTGGCCCTCCTCCCTCCTCCCTCCCTTCCTTCTCCCTCCTCCCCCTCCCTTTTTTCCTTCCTTTCCCTCCCTCCCTCCCTCCCTCCTCCTTTCCCTTCTTCCTCCCTCCTCCCTCCCTCCCTCTCCTTTTCCTCCCTTCTCCTCCCTCCCCTCCCTTTTCCTTCCTTCTCCCTCCCTCCCTCCTTTTCCTTCCTTCTCCCTCCTCCTCCCTCCTCCCTCCTCCCTCCTTTTCCTTCCTTCTCCCTCCCTCCCTCCTTTTCCTTCCTTCTCCTCCCTCCCTCCTTTTCCTTTTCTCCCTCCCTCCCTCCTTTTCCTTCCTTCTCCCTCCCCTCCTCTTTTTCTTCCTTTCCTCCCTTGTCCTTTTTCTTCCTTCCTCTCTCCCTCCTTTTTCTTCCTTTGTCCTCCTCCTCCCTTTTACCTTCCTTGCCTCCTCCTCCCTCCCTCCTTTGCCTTCTTCCTCCTCCCTCCTTCTTTGCCTTATTGTCCTCCTCCTCCCTCCTCCCTGCCTTCCTGGTCTCCCTCCTCCCTCCCTCCCTGCCTCCCTCCTCCTCCTCCCTCCCTCCCTCCCCTCCTGGCTGCCTTCACCTCCCTCCTTTGCCTTCCTTGTCCTCCCCCTCCCTCCCTCCTTTGCCTTCCTTGCTCCCTCCTCCTCCTCCCTCCCTCCTTGCCTTCCTTGCCCTCCTCCCCTCTCTCCCTTGTCCTCCTCCTCCCTCCCTGCCTTCTCCCTCCCACCCCTCCTCAATTCCCTCTTGTCCTCCTCCCCTCCCTGACTTCCCTCCTATCCCACTCCCTTCCTCTCCCTCATTCTCCTTGCCCCTCCACCCCTCATTCTCTATTCTCCTTGCCCCCTCCTCCATTCTCCTTGCCCTCCACCCCCCCTCCATTCTCCTTCCCCCTCCACCCCTCCTCCATTCTCCTCCTTGCCCCTCCACCCCCTCTTTCTCCATTCTCATTCTTGCCCCTCCCCCCTCATTCCATCCTCCTAGCCCTCCACCCCCTCCTTGTCTTATTTCTGCTCCCCCCCCCCCCCATTTCTCCCATCCCTCTCCATGTCCCTTTATATCTCTCCATTTATCCTTGCCCCCTATCCTCTTTAACCACACACCACTCATCCTTTCATTCTTTACCTTACCTCATCCTCAACCTCTTGCCTTGCAATGGTCTTTGGACATGAATATTACTTGATTTTCCCTATCAAACTGTAAGAAAATGTTTGATATTTGCTGATGTATATTGTCTATTCTTGTCTACTAAGAATGTCTTCTA